GCTGATCATATATCATTTGTAAGCCGAGTGAATTTGTTCCACATGTCTCTTGAACGTGTATTGCACACAATGTCTGGTAATATAGAGAATCTGGTAAAGAGGTGTCTAGTGTATTTTCATTACAGCTGTGTATTTGAATTCGTATTTAATTAGTAATGCACATAAACACATTTGGAGAGCTGAGAGTGAATCCTCCTCCTTTGATTTTGCTCGAGATAAGGAAGCTCTGATTTATTATTCAGCAGGGAAGATCAGAGAATGTCTCAAAAAGAAAGGAAAAGAAAACAAGAGGAATACTGCTGTCTGTGTATTCATTAACAGACAGGTTTTTCCACACTGTGCACTGCCGTCGCCTTGAAAACAGAGATCCTTGGTTAGCAGAGATTTGATGTCTGTGTAGCACCATATATGTATATAATATCTACGTGAATGAACAAGGTAATGCAGAGTTTTAATGCATCAGGGTCACTGATCAGTCAGGAACAGGTTGTGGTGATGACACATCTGCGTTTTACTGCCTGATTATACTCAGATTATTGTTATCCCTATAGTGTTTAGAGGCTCTGGGCTGTTGGAATACTCTGCATTTTTTCCCTCTGAAATTCAAAGACTTGCAGTTATGCTGGTGTAGTTGAGTTGAATATCTCTAAGTTAGGGTTAGCTTTCTGCTTTGTCCTCCTCATCTTTAACTTTACTCCAAACAAAACACTGAATTATAGTCTTTCCTTATTTACTTCAGTTTCCTACATAAAATAGTTATGTAGTTTTTTTCTTTAGTAAATGCAACCATCTGCCTTTTAGCCAAATAGAATAGGATGGTTTTGCAAGAGGTTATCTTGAGTCTGGCTGACATTGCCTGTCTGATGGTTTTGGCACAATAACTCACTGAGCCACTTGAGTTTTACTATCAGAGAATTGTGCAAATGCAAATCAACATGCAAATACGTCATAACTAGAAGCACAAATTTTGACCTTAGTGTAAAAATTAGAGAAATGTATCTGAAAGTTCTATAGAGGGAATTCTTATTAAAATAATTTGAATAAGAATCACAGTAAAAATCTTTTCCCGTCATTGATCATTTCTTTTATCCAAGACACACAGCCTGTAGTTTGAGAAAACTATGTTTCTCTGCTACACTATTTTGTTAACAAGACTTATCATAATGCAGCATAACTCAGTAATATCGCATGGAATGGAAGCATCAAGTGCGCTGAGAGAGTAGCATATCGATTTTTGTCGAAGTTCTGTCTCAGCCTACGTGAACCTATGATAGGCAGGGTAAAATTCCTCCCAGCTGATTCAAAGAATCATAGAATGGCTAGGGTTGGAAGGGGCCTCAAAGATCATCTGGTTCCAACCTTCCTGCCATGGGCAGGGAAACCCTCCACTACACCAGGCTGCCCAAAGCCTCATCCAACCTGGAAGTTCACTGTCAATCAAATTAGGGTAGCAAAACTTCCTTCATCATTGAGGGAGAGGAAGTTGGTACCTCTGCGGAAAGCTCACCTGGCATATTTTACATCCTTGCATTAGGATGTACCATAGCTTTCACTGGCTATATTAACTTCACTCTCCATGAAGCACGGGACACTGTTGAGGAATCTGGAGATAACTGTCTTTTCTCTTGATCTTCCACCGTGCCACATCATTCCACCTTCTGCTGTCTCTTGGATAAATGCTGATGCTGTAGCTTTCTATTTTGTTCACCATCACCAATGATTTCTGCTTTTCCTCTAGGAGCCAAGCCGTGGTCCAACATCATGGAGATCCTGGAGGAGAAGGACGGGGTTGATACAGAACTACTGGTTTATGCAATGACCTTGGTTAACAAGGTTTGTTTCCTTTGTTGGCATAACTGGTGGAGATTATGTTAGTATTTTCAGTTGTGTAATGATCTTCCCTGTTGAGAACATAAAACAAAGGAGACCTGTCTTGGAGAAGTTGCAGGATAAGCTGTAATCAATCATCACGCTCTTGTTACTTATGTTGCAGTCACCCAGAAGCAGCAGCTGGGAGCAGAATTGCCATTTTGCTTGATACCGTGCGGAAACGTGTTATGGCATGGCTCCTCTCCCAGTGCCGACAGCACAGCGCAAAACAAAACTCAGCAAACTAACTCAACACGTTACCCAAGGGGAGAAAGAAAGCACGTGCTGGTGAAAAGATCACATGCTCACAAAGGCTTGCATTGTGCACAATTTTCTAGTTCAGATCATTTAAATATTTTTTTTATTGTAAACCAAATATGATGAATTTAACAGGTCTAAGTGCTAGTAAAAGTGTTTCTGCTTAAAAAAATGAAGTTATATTTTTTTTCCTCCTTCTTTATATTTTCTGGTGTCCTGTATTACAAGTAGTAGCTTTGCATCAAAATCCAGTATTTTCCAAAGTACTCACTTGTGCTATGAGGAGGAAGAAAGTGAAAGGCCCATAAAAGTTAGAAATCTGTTAGTGTACATTCCTTAAAAATTAGCATCTAGTCCTCAACAAATCTTTGGATGACTGAATTTAAAAATAGATTTTTTTAAAGAGCACAGAAGATCAACATGCTACTAGCAAACCAAAATAACCATGTGTTTTATGATTATACTTAATAGGCCAGAGTATTATGGAATGTTATTATTATTCATTATATTCATTTAAAGGTCCTGAGTTTGTTGGTGGAGGTCATAAATCAAGCTGCCAGCTTATTGTGCTCATGGCTACATGGCTGGGGCCATGGGTTGCTTTGGTGTTTTTTTGTTAAAGTAATTTCTTAATGGCAGATATTGTCCAGCCAAGATGCCTGAGAGGGACTAACCTTTCCTGGTGACATCACTGATGTTACTGTACTTTTACTTAGAGCTGCCCGTACTCCTGCTTACATGGTAATAAGGATCCTCTTGGCTTTAAAAGACCACCTTATCTCACTGGGGTACTCATTCTGAAAGGCATCACTAGCTTTATAGGCTTCTGTCTGTAGCTGCTATTAAAGCCGAGGCGACCAGTTTTTAATGTCTGTGGTTTACACCTCGTTGTTTCATGTACCCTTCCCTCTTTCTGAGATAATTCTCTTCCTCATTTGCACAGTTGTAATCTACCTGGTGTTTGACTTCTTCAAAAATGTTATTCTATGTTGTCTCTTTTATTATCCTATAGTTGGTTCCTTTAGTCTGAATTTTTCTCTACGTTTAAAGCTATTTTTAGGAGGAAGTAGTTCTTTAAAAGACACCAAAAGAAAAAGCATCTCACAGTCAAAGGAGCAAGGCAGTTATGAAGATCAAGGAAGAGAGGAATCCCACAATGCCACACTTATAATTATGATCTGGCTTATGGACAGCTTTATGATGTTTTTAATGGGATTTTTTTCATGATTATAGAGAAAACAGCAAGCAGCATGTCACAGTTGTAATTTTTTTCCCCCACAGAGAATACAAAGAAGGCTCAGATGGTTTCAACTTCTCTAGATGAGGAAATGTCAAAGTTTTCACTGCAGGCAAGAGTCCTCATGAGGGATTTGTCTTAAGGAAGCATACTTCTACTCCTTTTTCTTTCTCCATGTATATATTTACAGACTGTTTTCCTTCCTGCTCAGGAGTAGAAAACATATCTGCCCAGACATAAGAATTGCTCCAGTCCTTTTATCCTCTTCCTCTCTTTTATTGATGCTTAACGAATTTACTTACACTAACATTTCATTAGCCCTCTCTTAATTTGGGAGGATTTAGGCATTAATGAATCTCTTAAATGAGATTGATCCCAATGCAGATGCTTCTGGTTATGTATAGTTCCCATATAACCTTTGTTATCTTCCTTTGGTTAGTTCATATGATCTATTAGATCTTACTCTAATCTCCACTTTCTTAATTTTTATTACTGATGTTCGGGTAGATTAAAGCCTTTGTGTTTCTTTTACAGGAAAAAAAAAACAGAACAAAACAAAAAAACACTCATCAAATGCAGAAATAAAATTCTATATTGCATTCAATTCACTTTATATTTACGTGCTATAAAGCCTCTTCATCATTGAGATTACACTGGAGGCTTTGTAGTTGTAAGATCACTATTGATTTTCTTTTTACCTGTATTTAATATTGCTTGTTCTCTCATATCATACAATATATTATAAAAAGGTAGATAAAATAATTATGAGGTATGTAATTATTAATACATTTTGCTATAGTCAGATTAAGCCATGAATGTTTTTTTTAGCAGGTCCAGTATAAGACTAGAATTTCAGCACCAGCTTCCAGGCCAGTGGTTACTAGTGGGAGGTTAGAGTATCATCCACCAGCAGTCCATCAGCTGTAGCTGAAAAAGCACAGTTTCAGGCCAGTGTGGTGTTAAAACCAACAGCTGGCACATTGTTTTTCGGTGACCTTAAGAACATTGCAACTGCCACATTGGAACAATGTTCATCTTACATCCTATGTCTGACTTTGGCCGCACTAGATGTTTTAGAAGTTGTGATTCCTGGGAAAACGCATACATGAGAGATCATAGAATCATAGAATCATAGAATGGTTAGGGCTGGAAGGGACCTTCAAAGGTCATCTAGTCCAACCCCCCTGCAAGGAACAGGGATATCTCCAACTAGATCAGGTTGCTCAGGGCCTTGTCCAACCTGGCCTTGAATGTCTCCAGGGATGGAGCATCCACCACCTCTCTGGGCAACCTGTTCCAGTGTTCTACCACTCTCATAGTAAAAAATTTTTTCCTAATATCCAACCTGAACCTACCTCCCTCTATTTTAAAACCATTACCCCTTGTCCTATCATAACTGGCCCTCCTGAACAGCCTCTCCCCATCTTTCCTGTAGGCCCCCTTGAGGTACTGGAAGACCGCTATAAGGTCACCCCGGAGCCTCCTCTTCTCCAGGCTGAACAGCCCCAACTCTTTCAGCCTGTCCTCATAGGAAAGGTGCTCCAGATGCTTCTTCCTATCCCAAAAGCCATTGAAAACTTGGCTAATACCCTTAAGCGTGTTTATTTACCATGTAGTGCTTTTCACTGTAGTGTGTGAGATTAGCTAATGTTTCTCTATCTAGTGCATGGGCCCTGTAGTGAAGCCCAATCTGTTGGATGTTTAATAACCAGAGAAGTACTCTTGCGTTACTTAGATTTGCATGTAAAGTGTTGCACACCAAATGGACTTTCTATTGTCTGTCTCCTCTCTGCACCACTGCTTTATACTGTGATTGTCCTGTAAATGACAAAAGGCACCATACTTACTTGTTTTACTAGCTGGTATCATCCAGGGTTGCACATTTTAAAAACTAGAAATAAAGAGGGCCTTTCAGGCTGAAGCCAGGCATAGCCTAGCACTAATTTATGTCAGAATCACAGAATGTTAGGGATTGGAAGGGACCTCAAAGGGTCATCTAGTCCAATCCCCCTGCCTGAGCAGGACCACCTAGATTAGATCACACAAGAACACGTCCAGGCGGGTTTTGAACATCTCCATAGAAGGAGACTCCACAACCTCTCTGGGAAGCCTGTTCCAGTGTTCTGTTCCCCTTACTGGGAAGAAGCTCTTCCTCATGTTTAAGCGGAACCTCCTATGTTCCAGCTTATATCCATTTCCCCTTGTCCTATCATTGGATGCCAGTGAGGTTTTTCTGAACAAAACCAGTCAAGTTTTGTTCGGAAACGTAACTGAGGATATGTAGTGATAAGAATATTGTGCTATTACCAGTATGTTGTCTAATAGGTTTTATGATCTAGGAAAACATTTGGCTGTTACATTTCCATAAAACTCTTATTTAAAAAAAAAAAAAACTCGATACAGCTTCAATAGTTTTTTTTCCTTTCTTTTGACTGGGCCTGTTACAGTTAGTGGTGGATGAAACGGATTGTTTAGGCTTTGTTAAAAATGTTGCTAAGAAGATCTATCAAGCTCAAAACTCTCAGGCTGGCGTTTTGGTTTTAACGTAGTTCACTATTCCAAAAGAAGCCGCTTGAGAGGGAAGAACTCAAAGCTGCACAGGCTTTCCCGCAAGGGCTTGAAAACAACTTGGACCACCACACAACAAACAAAAGTCTTGATTCAGGGAAGTTACCTCAAACCAAAACTAGGTAGAGGCATAGGAATGAGTCTTGACATTCATATTCATGCTTTCTTTGCACACCTGAGTTCTGAAGAGTTTCAGATGTGAAATCCCAGTTTTGGGCTAGGCTAGCGGTAATGTAACAAAACTCAGCAAGCAAACCACAGAGTATGGTTTAAACATGCTTCTCCAAGTGGCTAAATTTTAATTCTCTAGACAGGTTTTCTGTTTGAAAGGTTTTTTCAGAGCAGGAGGAAATGTTTGGAACTTGTATGTGTATTTTGATATGGGAGTATCATTTTGATCTTAAACAGGTACTCAGGAAAGAGCAAGAACCTTGGAAAGACCTGCCCAGTTTATGATCTCTTTGCTGGTTGCAGCTTTTGTTTCCTTTATAAAGCCACCAGGAAAATGTGGGCCAGCTCTTGTTTTTTAGTATTACAAGCCAGAATTGATCAGTCATTTGTACAAGCACTTCACGTCCCTTGTGTTAGTTACTGCAAAAATCTTTCTCCTGAGCTAGATTGAGCTGACCTTGTTGTGACACCAGTGGTGCCCTTTTACATCCCATTTTGTAGTGTTAGAAATTGAATTTGGTATGCATTAAGCTCTGAAAATGGATCTGTGAGTTTAATGACAAACTGTGGAAACGAAAAATATTTGATTTCTATACTTGGGAGTTCAATTGCCCAGTTCTGGCCACTAGCATGCAGTGAAAATTGGATTTCCACTGCTGCATGGTTTAAAATTATATTAACCAATAAAAGGCTGCTGACAAAAGCAGAGTTGCCAGTAAATGCTACCTTATGCTGCTATTTTCCTTGTCTACAGCCTGCCTGACCTCATATTTTAAAAAAGCTATGCTTGAAGGCAGGCGATCTGCATTTCAACATTAAGATCTTTTCCTAATGTTTCAAGAAGTAAATGCTCAGAAGATCTGTGCGGAAGATCTGACTGTCCACTCTTTTTGCATGTAAGACATCGTGTCTTATTGTACCTGCAGGCACTCAGGGCATTGTAGCTGCTCTCTACTTCTTTCATAAGTAAGAGAAAGCCTGATAGACATAGTTTTCTGTTACAGTATTTCCGTATCTGTGTTAAAGCTATGTTGAATTTACAGTGTGATAGCTTCATCTGCTGAATCCTCAGATTTCTACTTAATGCTAGGTGTCAGTTTAGGAAAGAACAACATGCACATTGTATCTGTTTTCAGCACTGTTCAGGAAAATTTAGTTCCCTGGTCTTCGGTGGGTTTTAAACAGGCTTAAATGCTGTCTGGGAGAGACAAATTCTTAATTAGAGCCTGAATATACAACCCTGAATGTATAATCCTAACACTTCCTTAGTATTTCTGCTAAGCATTCCTGTTGTGGTGGACCTCACCAGACATCAGATAATAGTCCTATAATGACTGAAGAAGATGATGTTGCTGTGTCTTGTTTCATTTAAAAAAAAAATAAAATTAAGAAGTAGCTTGGTGATGCACATTTTCCAGTACCTCATTTGACAGGAAAGAGGTGCTTTAACAGGGCAGAGTATCTCAGCTGTCTGTTATTATTCGTGAAATTCAATTTTTCTGAATGTAAAGCTTCTTGGTGTAGGGAGGCAGCCCAGGGTGGCTGCTCTCTTCTGCACTCTGCTGCTCAGAGCCACTTTGGAAAAGCCAGGCTCCAGAAAACTGATGTTCTCACAGCACAGTTCATCCCATCCATGGCATGAGAAGATGAAACTCTTTCTGGAGAGGGCCTGTTTTTGCCGTATGCTGTCTTTATCTCTTGCTCTTTCTCTCCTCCACTAGGACTGTAGATAAACTGCCTAGCTAATTAAACAGGAGAGGGGTAACTACTAATAAGCATCTCTGTGGTGAGCTAATCCAGAATAACTGTGTTGCCTCCAGTGTGCACTCTCCTGTGTTTTGTAGAAGCAGCTCTGTATAGACTGATTCTTGCAATGAGGTCTATGTTGCTCTTCAAGTAGGTTGCACAGTATGTTCAGTAGTTTCCACTCAACATGAGCAGAATTAGACTCATTTTTCTGCATGGTGCATAAAGAGGAGTAAATAATCAAGCTGGATAGAAATCAATGGCAAACCAGAATAGTAGTGTTTTCTGTTGTCTTCGTAAATGTCTGCAGGTCTCTGGTGGATGAAGTTCAAAAACAAAGCTGTCCAATGCCCATGTCCTCTTCCCACGCATCACTCTGCAGTAAAGCTGTGAGTGGCTTGATTCAATCCCTCTTGCTACATACACTGCAGGGACATACTATGGTATACATAGTATACTGCAGAAGACCACCTGCCTTTTCTCAGTTTTCTGAATTCACCAAAAAAATGGGAAATTATTATGGTAAGGAAAGTTCTCTCTCTTGAACACAGAGCAGGTGCCATAGAAAGCTCTGAACTCAGTTCATTTTCAATAGCTGTTACTAGTGGTGTTCATTATTTCTAGTGTGCGAAAGCTCCTCTCCAGTGTCACTGATAACAACTTGCCCCATGACCAGGAATTAGCAGCTCTTTTAACATTTTGCAGGAGTTAAGGAGTCAGTGTACCTTTAATAAGACTTTTCGAGGTGAAGGGGAGGAAAGGAGTCAATATCTCTGTGACATAAAATAATTTGTGTGTGGGAGGATGACCTCTGCTGCAGGTGTGGAGGACAGTAGGCACATGGTGCAGGATATTTCCTGCTGTCCTGACATCACACAGCTGTGCATTGGACTTTTTCTTCTTAAGGCCAAACTTACAGGAATCAGTAGGAAATCAGCTTCGCTGGTTTTAGCTAAAGCACTTTTTTCTCTCTCATTGCTTTTATCCCTGCGTTTGATGCTTTAACATTCTCTGTTCTTTAAATCTGTATTTGAATGAAGCCAGGAAGGATCCAACTGTGCATTTTAAAGACCTACATTTTCCATAATTTTTTGTATGAAATAACAACATTGATTTGTTTTGCCAATTATTCATTTTTCTACACAGTGTGCAGAGTTGTTTGTTAAAAGCTGTGCCACTTGTTTTTTATTTTCTAATCCCACATCATGGGTTTTACTTTATTGAAATCACGCATAGCACCACTTGCCACCCGCTTTTAAAAGCCTTTGTTTAATTCTTTTCAAAACAAACAGATTTAAATGTTTTTCCTTTGATTCTTAGACGCTGTCAGGGTTGCCAGATCAAGACTCTTTCTACGACGTGGTGGACTGTCTGGAAGAGCTAGGCATTGAAGCTATTTCACAGAGACACTTGAACAAGAAAGGAACAGACTTGGACTTAGTCGAGCAATTTAACATTTATGAGGTAACATAACATGCCCTGTTTTATGCATCTTACAGCTTGTGCAAACTTCAAAGCCAAGAGGAGGGGGGGGAATGTAACCTAGGTGAAATTTGGTTATCTATTTTAGTTTAAAAGAAAAACATCTGGTTGCTAGAAGTATTGTACACGTTCATATATGTGACCTGCTACAGTCCATAGCTGCGTTTAATGCAAATGCCTTTCATGCTAAAGCTGGGGTATACTCCAAGGCAAACCAGCACATTTATTAGCCTCCTTAAAGGCAGTTCTGCCTGCAATTAAAACTTTCTCAGACTGCTAGTTACACATCCTGAAGTAAGTAGAAGTTCTTTCCATATGCAAAAGTATTCAGCTCATGAAAAAGGTTCGGCTGAGCTCAGCTTCACAAATACCACTTGTTCTGCAGCTGAATACTCAGCAAGTCCTTGTTTACGAGTTTACACTGGACCAGATCCTATACACTTTGCAGCAATGGAGTAATTCACCACCTAGGTATAAAAGGACTACTTCTAAAGTATTTGTATTTAAGGATAGGATATCCAGTTTCTTAATAATTAGCCTCTTTCCAGACTTTGAGAAGTGTTGGAGCGAGGCGGTTTAGGCTGAAGTTAATATATTGTAAATGTGATTTCGCGTTCTGGTGTGATGAAATGAAATGACTTTATCTCCATCTAAGTCCAGCAAAGGATTTGGTAGATTTGATTCTCAGTGTCTTCATCAACTCTACGCTCATGTTACTTCACTAACTTAAAGTTTTAAAACTTTAAGCTTTATATACAGCAGTTTGCAGGAAGAGTCAGGCCAAAACAGGAACATGAGAATGAGAGGACCCAATGTTCTTCTTTCTTTTTCTATTCTCAGAGGCATCAGCTCATAAAATCCTTATTAAAAGATGATCATTAATCTTAAAAGCAGGGTTTTTTGCACATAGTGTGCCTGCTGAAAGACTTGGTTGCAAAATTAGCAGTTGTCTTGGTTCGGTACTAGCTTTCTCTTGGTGACCAGACAAAATTTAGACGTGCCCATGCACATCGTTTCTTTTTTCTGCCAATGTTGTTCTTTATCTGAAAAATCCCTTCCTCCCTGCTGAAATAGATTTTACACCCTAAGCAGCGATATCACACTTCCCCTTGCCTTTGTTTTGTTAAAGTCATTTCTGGTAAGAATTATCAGAATAAAAAGACTGACAGAAACATGCAGATAATCATTCTCCTGATAACCCACATCACCCTCTTCTGTACCTCTGCCTGTTGCATGGATCGTTCTCACACAAAGATAACTTAAATGTTATACTGCATTTCAGATGAGATCCATCAGTAAGTTTGTTGTTTCATCCAGCAATATCTCTCCTCATGTACCCTAAGGTAGCACTTGCTTTGTTTCTGTTAGAGGTATGTCACATTGGCGTGGCAACGGCATGCTGTAGTTAAGACAGTAGGTGTTGCACCTGTATTTTACTCCTCTACTATTTCCAGCTCATGAGCTCCCAACCTGTGTCAGAAATTTTTGTCAAATGTCACTGTGGCCATGCTGTTCTCAACAACATTCTTTTCTGATATTATACATACGTTCCTCTGTATTGACAGTGCTTCTGAACTGACAGGAAATAGTGAATATTCCACTGAAAGTCATACGTGAAAATAATTATACTAACCTAAAAATTGGGAGGCTTAGAGGAGATGTGTGGTCTGAATTGTTTTCTTTTAATTCATTGTGATACTAGTTCACAAAAAAAGTTTTGTTTCTTAGGTTTTTTCCCTTTGTTTCCTTCGCAGGGAGATCTGTAAAAATGGAGATTTTTAAGAGGCATGCAGTTAAATATACATCTGCTGATCTCTTCCTTGGCTGGGAAAAATGATGGCTCTATTCTAAAATGCTTTCAGAAGTAGTAGTCAGTAACTTCCATTCGATCATTACAAGTGTCATGTCTGAACATGAGGAAACGTTCAATCAGTTAATGCATGAGAGTTTTTTCTGTTGATTTCACTAGAGCCAAGACTTCACCTAAGTATTTTGGAAGGAAATAAAGAGAGCTAGGTGTCCAACACTGCTCGGTTTCCTTGAAAATTAAGTCCTACATAAAACAAACAAACAAACAAACAAACTAGGAGATATATAAATGTATTGTTACAGATCCTGTAGTGTTCTATACAAGGTGTCAGTATATAATTCCATTATTAGAGCTGCTGCACTGCACTAATGGATAGACAGCAACTTCCAGGGATAGCTATAGAAATAGTGACGCTGATAGGAGTTAATTGTGTTGAGATCAGTTAATTTTTAAAGCCTAGGTGTGAAGACCTGTGGTACCTAAAGGACCTGTGTCAGAAACCTCGCCTTTCTTCCTTTCTTTTTCAGATGACACTAAGACATGAGGATGGAGATGAGAGTGCTGACCCCCCTCCCAGTGGGCGCAAGGACCGGAGAAGGGCCAGTCTTGGTGGTAGTGAGCGGAGGGGGTTAGAGCGCCGACGAAGCCGCAGGCACTCGGTACAGAACGTCAAAAGCACTTTATCGGCCCCGGCGAGTCCATGCGCTCAGTCCAGCCCTAACTTCATGCTAGGCCACGGACAGCGCGTTGAAGACCTCAGCGAGAGGTAAGTGCACGAGCTGGGATATACTCCTTTCTTTTCCCCATTACTTTCCATTATGTTCACTGCACTTCATTAATCTACCAAACTTTTGTTTTCTTTTTTCCCCTCTTTTCATTGAATTAAAAAAGAAAAAAAAAGCATATTTAAAACAACAGAAAGAAATGGGTTTGTAGGTGACTTGATTTATCTACATGGATCAGATCTTTGGCACAAGCTATGCTAAGCAAGTGGACCCAAACCACATGAGGTAGAGCATTAGATATGGGAACTAACCAAGGTCAATCTCATCCATTGGCAGATGTTATATTCAATATAGTAACATAATAGAAGATTGTAACAAGGGCATAGTCATATTAATGCAGTCTTTTTTGCTCTGTTTATGTTACAGTTCATTCTTTTTTTTTTTCCTCCTTTGCATTCAGTTCTAGTGTAAATATTTTCCTTTTGAGGCTACAGTGTACTGGGGGATGTATCTAATGTTTTATAGTTAGTGAAAGAGACAGTAAGGACTAGTTGAGCAGCAGTCTGTAGCACTGGAGTCAGTCAAAGGTACTGTCATTGCCGGTCTCATAACGGCTAGGCATGCTTTGGAAAAAAGGGAGCTGCAGATCCTCAGTGTGTCTGAATACCTCACAGGAGAGCTGGAATTCATTTTGCCTAAGTCAAATGCCCGATGAGTTTGGCTCCCTTTGATGTCGGTGGAGTGCAGCAAGCACTGCTAGGCCTTCAGTTATCTAACGTATTCTACATGCCTGAAATTTCAGCCGAGGTGAATCATGCTCATGGCTGTTTCTCTCTGTTGACCATAAAGGGAGTCTGGCTGGCTAGCTCAGGTGAAGATGCGTACACTGCAGAGAGCTGGAGCTGGACACATCTGTCATCCCACGGCTCAGGGTGCAATTTGTGAAACCGAAGCATGCTTCGTGACGAGCACGTCTTGTGTTGATTGTAACATTTGGGAAGTTCTTTGGGGGCTACCGTTGGTTAGTACTGGATGGGAACTTAGAGCCTTAAAATCCTGCGTTACCTGTGAAGCAGCCCTTCTCACAAAGCAAGCTGAGTAGACTGATTCTGAATGGCTTCAGGCAACATGAAAGCATAAGACCCCAGCTAATTTAAACAGTAGTTGCGTGTTGTATACTGCATAATGGCTTTTTTTTCCACCCTCTCCTTTCTTCTTGCATTTGGCAACATATTCATGCTTGTTCCCATCACTTTTTACTGATTGGGCCTTCAGTGAGCTGCAGACTGAGAACCACATGGTCTTACAGGCTGAGGACAAGGATGACAGTGCATTGGAGGCTGAGTTTAAAGCATTCTCAGTGTGAGTACAGCTGGGGGCTTCAGCCATGCTGCATGGCAAGCCTCATGCATGATCTTGGGCCCTGCTTCGTGACTGCCAGTGCGACTGAGAATCTGTACCCATGGATGTGCAGCAGATATCATTGATTTCTTAAACTTATTAATTTGGGCTAGAAGCAAGGGAATGCTTCAACTCTACAGAAGTTCTTGATTCTCTGCAGGGTAACAACTGCTACCAATATGTTTTCTCACTGTTAATGTTTGCTTACTAGCTTTATTTTGCAGTCTTCAGTAATTCCCAGTGAATTTGTGTTTGAGCTGATTTTTAGTATCGAGGCAGTAGAAACATGGCAGATTAGTTTCTTGAGTTCTTCAAAATACGTTTTCACCAGCATAGCATAATTTCAATAGTTATTTTCCTTTTCTGAAAAAAATTAACCAGTTCTGCTCTGCATTCTTCTTGAAGCTGACATAATTTAAAGCATAATTTAAGTTGAAATCAAAGAAAGAAATATTAATTTAAGAAGTCAAATTTAGTTTTATGTTGCTATTGTCCTTGCAATCTTCTCTAGGAAAATAGTTAAATTCTCTTCAACTCCATTTGGAATTTCTAACTTGCTCACCTGCCTGTCTAAGGAAAGAGGCATGCAGTTATGAGTTTATGTAACACTGATCTTCACTTTGCCTGTTAGTTAAATAAAATCCTTTTTTCTCCCTCCCCATTCTCCAACCCTCTTAGCAGGTAAAGACAGGGAATATTACTTGTAGCTAGCAAATCAGGTTTTTTCCCATTGGACATTATAGACCACAGAATATGTTTTGGTACCCGAAGATGCAAGTTCTGTGCCCAGTGAAATTTTCGAAGTTGCCATAACAAGAAGCTAGTCAACTGTTGGCTCTTCTGTAAATCCCACTGGATTTCTGCTAAACAAGTGTTTCAGAAAAGCTAGTTCTGTCCTTCACATTTTTAGTCTCATCATCTACCTAAATCTGTAGTTGTGGTAGGAAGAGGAAAACCAGCCTTCCTGCTTTATCATATCCCGCTGAGTCTCTCAGCTTTCAGTGAAATAGTCCAGATGAATGCAACAGTATCTCTACACCTGATAGCTAAACTGGGACAAAAAAAAATACTTCATGACTTGTATTCATTAACATTTAAATAGAAAAATACTGAAGTTGAATGACTTGTACTGTTTTTGCACATTTATAAAGTTTGAATTAACCTTAAGTGGAAAGAGGTTTTTCTCTCTGCATTGTTGCTGCTGGAATCCGATTTTCAAATTTGAGCACATGATCTCTGATGCAGCATATTTGTTGGTTTAAAGGATTTTAATAGAGCAGCATAAGTTTAGGTCTTGCCGCAATTTGTAATGAAATTTTAAAATCATACGTTAAAATATGATGCAGGCATCACTTGTTTTTGTCAAAAGAAATGCATGTTGTGTCCTTTCTGCCTCCATCATTAATGTTGTAGAGAGGAATCTCTACAAATGGATAAAAATTACTTATTACCTCTATAAACTGAAAGTAACTTTTGTTCATCCAGGAAAGATCTGTCTTCTGCTAATGACCTTCTTTTGGTTAATAATCCTAGTCCCTCTCGAGGAAGGAAAAAAGTTCACAATAAGTTTTTGTGCTGCTGAATTTTCTGAAAAACAGTCTGCAAAACGCGTTTCAGTCTCTTTATTCTTTCACTGTGTTTTCATTGCCAATAGGAAACATGCAACAATATCAATGGTGATCTTATTGAGTCGCTCCTGCCGGTATCTAAACTTTGTGTGTGGTTGCAGATGTCTATGGTTTTACAGTGGATTAGCACCATCAAGTTCAGTAGAATTGCTTCTGATGGACATGGTTAGAGATTAAAGTCACGCTCTTACACTGTAATAAATTTTGTTTTGGGCAATATTCTTGGTTATTTTTGGACTTCACTACCAAAATCAGTAGAAGGTTCAAGTTCTTCCTCAACATTCTCCTTCCCACAGTGTTCATTTTTCTTTTCTTTCTAAGTCCGTCAGCTGGTTTGGCAGTTACTTTGCTTTTGTTTACCACATCAAACAGGTTGTCCACAGTCATCTGCTTTGTGTCGACCGATAAGTCTTCCAAAAAGAGAAAAATCCATGGTACCGGTAAAACAAAAAAGGACAATATTGGCCAAATTCTCTTCTGTCTCACAATGCTCTATATCCAGAAAAGCTGTCTGAAGTCAATGGAGTTGCTCTGATTTACGCCAGGCTAATTGAGAGCAGACTTTGGGTTTTGAGCTGGGAAAAATTGACCGTAAATGCTAAGGGCAACCAAAAGGAAAACTTGCAGGCCTTTTTCATCCATTTGGCAACCTTCTTCCAAACTAAATGTATTGCTTTTTTGCTTGTGGTTCAAAACAAATAAAGACCTAAATCTGCTTTGCGTTAAAATATTTTTCATGGAGAGTGAAACCCAGGCTAATGTGCCTGTTACTAAATAAATAAAGAAAGAAGTTGATAATGACTACTGACTGAGAAAGGCTGAAGGTTGACTTAAGGATATGTAGCTGCTGCAGTGTACTTTAAAATGCCACCAGAAGGTTTGCTTTTCTCAAAACTTCTTTCTTTTACCATGATGGCATAGAGCACAAAAAGCCTGGGGGGAACTTCAGTCCTGTTAACTTGACATTTTAAATACTTTGCTGAGGGCACCTCCTAAGGTTTTCTGCCCTGGTCCAAAGTGAATGCTCGCAATCTGTGGTCTAGCATGCTGTTTCTTAAGCTGTAGACATTTAAACAAATTCTTCCATGGGATTTTTTTTTTTTCTTTTTAAAGTAAAGCTTTTTCCAACCACACAATGGATAGAGTCAGGGAAAAATATAAAGTGTGGCGTGGAACTTGCACATCCCCATCTCTCTCCCTGGGTGTCCCATCAGAGCTGTGTCAGCTGGACTTAGCAAACATACTTAAGGAAGCTTCTGTGAGATGTACACTGGCACCTCTTACCAGCATTTGAGTGAACGGCTCTGTCAAAGCTTTGTGGAATCAGTTAGAGTCAAAGACTGAGGTTTATGAAGTTGTGAATAGCTGGGATTAGGTGTTTACCTCACTTTACTAGACTGTCTGCTTTCTCCTTCTTCATTTTCATGGCTTTGCTTTGGTTTATATAACTGAAAATCATGAAAGAATCACTACGATCTGTCATCATACACGATGGGTGTTCATCTGAAGATAACCAGGCCTTGTTTAGGACTCTCTTGTCAGTATTCCCGTGTTTGAAACCTACCAAGCAGAAGAGCTGACAGCCATCTTAAGAACTCATCAGAGTAGAGCCTGCATCCTGAATCAGTGACTGAAGCTGGATTTAACAAGCTATCTTTTCTAGATTGTGGGGCCAAAAACGCTTGAGGAAGACCAACTGTTTAGGTTCACCTGAGGCTTCCAGGTTTTTCAATCTGAAGAAACTTGACCTTCTTCAGGAGAACTGTATTGGGAAGGGCAAAACAGCAGAAGACCACACAAGGAATTATGTGCTTATGAGCTGTGCTTTTATGAGGGTACTGACTGGAAGGCTGTTAGGACTCTTCCTCTGAGTGGAGTAGCACAGGGAAGTCCAGAGTTTCCTGCAGATTTCTGGACTAGCTGGATGCAGCACCGTTGCATGGGACAAACTGGGCTCAAGGGCTTTCACAGCTTTCACAGTCCTAGAAAAAAATGGAAAATTGTTGTCTAGATAGAGGAAAGCTGTGCTGAGAAGTCATAAGGATCTGTTTGTTAGAAAATACATGTTTCTGATGCTTGAGGATTTCTGAGGTGCAGGAAGAAATCATGACACTATTTTGGTTTTA